CCAGCTTTGACAACTTTAAATAATCTTTCATTTGAGAGTCATAACAACTATCAATCATTGGTAGCTTCCTCATCTCACCTGTTTGGAGTGACTCGCACACCAGAAGGAAGTATCCAGAGCTAAGTGCTGGAACAGGGTATGGAGGAAAAAATAGACTTTAACTGAACTTGCAGAAGATTTAGAATGGTTTGCCCAGTTAGCTCATTGGATGATCCATGTGAAATGATGGATTTGTTGGCACATGACCAATTTATAGGTGCCATAGCCAATAAGTATATGAGAATAGGTTGAAGCAAAGTAAATAAAGCTGTTTAGTTGGTAATGGAACTTGAATCCATTAAAGTTGCACATAAACTACTAAAGGCACCATCTAGAAGTTACAAGAATATTTGATCTTGTAGTGCTGAAATATCAACTACCCTTTACAACTGTCTAGAAAAACTGAAAAAAAAATAATCAGACAGATAGTTCACAGAATGAAGGAAATAAACTACACTAAAATAGGTGTTTCAAGCTAACTTGAAAGTACATGTTTTGAGAAACTTTAGATTAAAGTCACTATGGAATAAGAATTCCCAGAAAGCACTAGAAAGATGGAACTGTTATAACTGTAGGAAACATGGCCATTACAGCCAAGACTGTAAAGAATCAACAACTGTTATTAAACCAAGGAGACAATACCCTCTTGGATATGTCTCAGAGCTCAATCAGATTAAAGGAACACCAAAATGCTAACCAGACAACAAAAAAGACAGGAACTAGCTGGATTTATGGGCAAAATTCAGCTAGAAGTATTCCATGTACCACAAATGAAACAAGAAGTTTGTTAATTGAAGAAAATTGTCCATGAGACCAGTGCTTACTGATGGAAAACTTTGCAGTATGTGATTGACACTGGCTGTACAGCTATAATTGTTCAACCTGATTTGTTATAAAAGGTGGGATATTGCCTTTACAGATGAAGAGGGATTGATGAACATAAAGTTTCAGTAAAAAGGAAGTTGGAAGTTAACCTCACTGTGTGAGTAATTGGTAATGAGGAAAAGTGCATATTGGGAACTGACTTCATGCAGAGACATGTATGTGAAATTAAGCTAACTTCAAATATCTACACAGTATATAACCAGGGAACACCTAAATACTACATGGTTATTACTACAACAGAGGTTGAACTTTCAGTAGCAACAAAAAGAATGGTCACTGTACCACCAAAAAGTGAAATACTCATACAGGAATTATTAGCAATAACTGTCATCTAGTGACTGCTGTGGTGGGACCGAACATTCCAACACGTCTTGAAGGATTGGTGATTAGAAGAGCTCTCAGAAATGTGAAGAATAAAGGTGTTATACATGACTTTACCCAAGAAAGACTTAATCAGTTTGTGACAGAACAAAGTCACTATGGTGTTATTGTCGATAAGACTGGATTTCGTCAAAGTGACTTGGTATGACTGAATAATTCCTATTCAAGGCAGGACAAACTTCAAAGTTAGGTAGATGTTGGTAAGAACCATACATTGTAGTGAATAGAATGAATGCCAAAAGAATGGGCAATCCAAGCCAAATGTCTTAAACAGTGATGTGATTTACAGAATCTAGAAGGATAGGCAATCCAAGCTAAAGGTCTTAAACTGATTGTCTTTAGAAGTATGTTGGTGAGAGAATGGCCATCTGGGTAACTCCAGAGAAGAACTTATCAGCAGAAACTCAACCTGCTGAGGAGCCCAGGGTTCCTGTCAAGACTACTTCCAGAGGATCAGCAAGGACAGAGCTGCCAGTGGATTCACTCGACCTTCTACCTAGGAAGAACCCTCTTGTTAACAACAAGAGACAAGAAGCTATCCCATCTGTTTACCATGGGCCTTGGAAGAGAAAACCACCAAAAAGATTTAGTGAATGGACAACCTAGTGTAGCATTTATTTTTTGTATTAGGATTACTCAAGGAACTTCACAATCCAGGAAGGGGGTAATGATATAAAGTATATTTCAATGTTTTAATTTCAATGGCAGCTAGAGGGCAGGCACATGATGTTAAAATCAAGTAAGTTTATGAAAGTTGTCCTAGAATGTTCATGAATATTAGTGATCAAGGAAATATGCAAAATGTCTAGAAACAAGGCTATGTTATAAGTATGATAATTATTGAAGCATCGAATAAGTTTTTCAGGTGGAATACTACCAGTCATTCAGTGAAGTATTTAGTTTCTTTGAAGTATTCAGATTAGTGTTTGTTTTTGCACATATTCAGTTACTTGGTCATCAGTGGAATTCTACAAGTTTATTTACATGTTATTCATAGTAGCATTAGTAAACATCTGTTCAAACTGACAAGTTATTGGTGTAACATCGGCTGCTTAGTACAATTACGAATTAATATTAATATTA